GCCGCTTGCCCATTGCGACTCGCAAAAGAGTCTACGATTAACTCTGGGCACCATTTGCGTATGACTATGGACAGCCATGGGCATGGCGCCAGGATCTCTTCGAAAACTCATAATAAGAGTAAGTACACGCTGCGCTCTTCCGCTTCAGAACTCCGTTTGAAAAAAAAACGCGTAGCAGGTTTGGAGGGCAGAGAGATAAGCGTTTCACGGAGAACACCTCTCATCTTGGGTAACCATATGACCTTAGAGCATTTCCTTGTAAATCATGTAAATGAGTGCGGGCTTGATTCCAGCCTGCAAGAAATGTTTTGCCCAAAACTCGTCATCCTTGTGGTGAAATTAATCAACATTTCAAGTGTATTTTGGCCATGCAGCAAAATACACAATCCACAGGTTCACGACTTCTGTAGAGCTAAACCAGTGGATTCGGTTCTTATCCCCCTTCTTCCCTCACTACCTAATCCCTCCGACAACTCACTGCATACAAAAAGTGGAGTTGTGTACCAATGGAAAAAAGTCTGAACGCAAACTCGATCTGCTTTCCGAAGCTTTTTGACTAAGAAAAGTTGAGTCCAGGTGCGAGCAAGAAGCAAAATCGCGTAATCCTATTCTTGGAATATATCATCTCTCCATATATCAAAATGAGGATTCTCTCGAGAAAAAAAAACATAAATAACATACTTCAGCTGTTACTACCATGTCGAATGTTCTCATTTGTAACTTGCAACCCATTCGAAGTATCGAAACATCGCATAACACCTCATCTCCTCGTGAAACAACGAGGCCAATCTTAAATATGAAAAAAAAATAGCACGGACTATAGACCTCTAAGAGTAATACAATAGTAAGCAATTACCTCTGATGGAGAACAGAAAAGACAAAAAGAACTGCAATGGACTGTAATAAGAAGGCACCTGATTCAAATGTAGGTCGAGTTCTAGTTGAACTTGCTGCTCTGTAGATTTGGATGAATCGCTTTCGCTTTCCTTCGCCTCCTCCTTTTTCTCCTCTTCTGTCTCTAGCTGAAAAGAAGAGTAAAAAAGAGGGATGATAGCAATACAGACAAAGATTGATGAATGCAATTAAACGAGAAATCTTGAGTCAGAGAGAGCTTTCAGTACACACTTCCTGCGTCTCCATAATAGTCTTCATTTTGGCACGAGCTTTGAGGTTCACATCTTCAGGCAATTTCACTTCAACGACAGGTGGTGTAGGATCCGGCTCTGGTGTTGGAATAGACAGTAACACATGTGTCAGAAGTAACAGCCGAGTATCTGATATTCCAACAACGATATCTGGCAGCGCACCCATTAGTCGAATCCTGAAAACAGTCTACTGAACTCAAGAACTCGTTCATTGAATGAAAAGAAGAGAGAAAGATCAAGAAGAACACCTCGGTAGCCTCAAATCATCAATGGAACACTTATGGAACTGAATATCAAGACCCGTTGGTTTGAGGACATGCAGTGGGCTGTCCTTGTCTGTCAATGCTGCACGCCCTTTCTCCACATTCTAAATGACCGATGAAATATTACCCACATATTAACTTGTAATTATAAACTCACATCCGCCATGCAAACCACAACATTGCTGAGCTTCATACGGAATTTATCGTACGCCTTATCCATCAGTTGATGAAGTTTATCCTTCTGCGCTATTGCATTCTAAAACGAGAAGTAAAAATTCCTTTCAAAGCTGACAGTGTCCAAAAAAGCATCGAATTCAACTAGTGACTGAGCGCTCAAAGATACTAGTAGTCATGGTTATTGACCACGACTGAAAAACCTTCTCAAATCCATCCAACAACTTCCACAAAATTTTGAGCGATATTCCGACAAAACAATAATGGAAATGCCCTTTCTAATATCTACAGGTCCTCATATTAGCAATTCCCAAAATTGTCTGACCTCCATTTAGAATGGGTCGGATCTCGAATTATCCAGAAACTAGGTAATCAACCTGAACTCGAGACTTTCATGGAAAAGTTGCTGAATGCATGCGGAATATCACCGTTTTGAAAAAAAAAATAAAAATGGCACAGCGTCCATTCTCTTCCACTACTTCATCATTCAGTCTACTTAAAAACCAAATAAAGGACTACAGGATTCACTTTCCACTGTTTGTGATGCTCGAGTGACAGATCAGCCAGAATGGTCGGCTTCTGAGAATCGTAAACACCTCCTTCAGAAACATAGATAGTGGCAGGTTGAATTTGAATGTCCAAAACTAGACGAGATCGATTTCTCAACCGCGTGTCGTCCCACCAGTCACGAGATCGTCTGCTTTCACCTCAAATAGATGGAGATACTAAGGCTGAGTATAGATTGAAATGACAAACTGATACCAATCAATAAAATACTCAAAGTTCCAAAGGAAAAAAATAGCATTTCTTGTGAATTCTCATCAGGAAGCTATCTATACTTCTGTAAATGCAAATATTCATTACCTCTTCATAGCGAGACATCGCCGCTGCAGCTAGCTGGTTGAGCTTTACCGATTCCGGAGGCTTGAACACCTACAAGACGCATTTTTCATTATTCTAATGAGATCGCTCATGTAAAAAAAAACAAGACGTACATCGATAGCACTATTCACAGCAGGCGCATGGTACTTCAAATTGACGGGCGCGATGGCTAGTTGCACTGATTGGTCGTATTTTCCATGAAGAGGGTTGGTGTCCACGCACATATTGAGCCATGGCTTTGATGGATCCCTCACGCGCAGCATTTCTGCTCCGCAACCGTTCATTTTGAGCTCCTGGTATCGATGATTGCAGACTAAAAATGGCTTTTCAGTGGTGGTGGAGAGAAACTGGGAACTAGATATCTATAGGGACGTACTTCATAGCATTCGCACTCGGACGTTGCTCTAAATGTGCTCTCAGGTTGAGTAGATTAAGCTCTACAGCACCATCTACAGCTACAGCCACCTGAACACGATTCGGGTGATGAATTTGGTTTCACTTGATATTGAAATCGTACGCATTCTGGGCACATTCGAACAACAAAGTAATCGAGTAACTAAATAAATAACAACATTTATAACAATAAAACATATACCTGTTTTAAACGGAAATCTAGTTTGTTTTCCACAAATTCCTTAGGATAATTTGTAGGTGGCATGTTCTCCTGAAGGAAATGTTCAAATGGGTTACCAGGAAAAAGAAGTTCAAACACAAAACCCGAATTACCTGATAGTCGATCGCTTCAAAGAGTTTTTCCTTCTCTGCCGGAGTCATCGCTTCATTGAACTGTGTGGCGAAATCCTTTGACTTTTTGGTATCACTTTGTTCATCTCCGCCTCCAACTCCGAGCCTGTACAAAACCTTTCACCGTCCTTTTTCACTTTTTTGAAACCTCCCCAAACCCACCAACTTGCTCCCCACGCAAGCCATCCTTGTGGCTGATCCTCGACTCTCTTCAATCCCTGACGATCGATGTCCATTTCAGCCTGCTGCCGTGCGACATTTACATTGAACACATCCAGCTGTTCCTCTGCTTTCTAGAAAAGAGGATTACGGTAAAGATAAAGGATAAAGCATTTGCCGTTGATCAATCCCTTTTTGGGATGCGGCACGCATTCTACTTCCATTTGTACATTCGTAGTGGCGTTTGAATGCGATGTGGCCTATACAATGACTTGCGGGGGCCAGCCGATGTACAAGTCAGTGTTTTTATCCTCCCAGACAAGTCTGGTACCAATTAACCGACCCCGGAGGGATGGAAGGCTTGGTTGGCCCGGGCGACTGACCCCGGACCGCTCGCGTGGTAAGCGTGCCACTTGCCACTACACCACTTCCGCCCAAAAGACAGGATTACGAGTTCTATCAAAACATGAGAATGGTCAGCTGAGCTCACTCCTCACAAAGCGGGCCATAGCAAGCTAAGCCGGGTGTCGAAGAATCTGCCAATAACGACTCTTCCCAATGATGATTATGAGCCCACCTCCCCCTGGTGACCTTTGCTGACCCTTATACTATAACTTCACCAGCCGCTGCTCAATTCCTCCAAACTGGCATCGAGCGAGGTGAGGGGAGAGAATACAAGGCTATTGAAACACTGACACATCTTCGAAGTTCTCTCTTCGAACCTTGGCGCCTTTGTTGAGATTAGTGCTTCTCTTCTGCCAGCGAGGTTTTTGGATTTTTACATTTAATGAGCATTACTAACTATTGGCGTTGTCTCATAATTCTTGTCGCAATTTCGACACTTTTGTTTATCCAAGATTTACCTCTTCTAGGAAACAACTGATCAATGACATAACCACCATCTTCTTCTTCTTCTCCCTAGCGTTAGTCCCGCGCAGTCGCAGGGTCCGCTGTCTTTGTCAGTCGTCGCCACTTTAGTCTGTCCAGGGCGTCCTCTGCTGTGGCCATGACTTCACTTAGATCCTTCTTGATCACGTCTCTCCACCTCTTCTTTGGGGCTCCTCGCGGTCGCTTGCCTTGCACTTCGAAGTCCATCGCTGTTCTTATCGGATGATCCTGTGGCCTCCTTAGCACATGCCCATACCATCGTAGACGCTGTTCCCGTACCTTCAGCTGGACAGGGGCAGTCTGCATGACCGCTCTGACATCCTCGTTTCTAACCTCTGTCCAGCCGCGTCCAGCCGCAGGCCCACCTCAGCATCCTCATCTCAGCGGAGTGAAGCTGCCTTTCGTGGTTCTTGTTCAGGGGCCAGCACTCGCTGCCGTATAGCATCGCAGGCCTGACTACTGTTCGGTACACCTTCCCTTTGAGCGTTCTGGAGCACCTTCGATCACAGAGGATTCCAGTGGACTCCCTCCATTTCATCCATGCAGCGTTGACCCGAGCCTTCACCGCCTGATCCACACTGCCATCGGCTGCCAGATCGCTCCCAAGGTAGCGGAAGTCCTCCACTCTTTCGATGGTCTCACCATGGCCGTCTACGATCGGCTCTGCACCCTCTTCGGAGCTCAGGAACTTGGTCTTCTTGACATTCAGCCGTAGCCCGCCTTCTGCCAGGACCTTCTGCCATTGCTGCACCTTGGCCTGTAGTTCCTCTCTACTATCCGCTATCAGGGCGATGTCGTCAGCGTAGAGGATGGTCTTCAGTGGTCCTTCCATGAGGCCCTTCACCATGGTATCGAGCGTTAGGAGGAACAGGAAGGGGCTCAGAGCTGACCCTTGATGCACCCCAACCGTGATGTTTATCTCCTTTGTTAGGCCGTGAGGGGTGCGTATGGCTGCTTTGGCTCCTTCGTACATGTCCTTCACCAGGGAGATCAGGTGTTCTGGCACGTTTCGTTCCCTGAGCGACCTCCACAGCACTGCTCGCGGTAGCCGGTCGAACGCCTTCTCCAGGTCGAGGAAGGCTAGGTAGCAGGGTCGGCGCTTTTCTCGATACTTCTCCATCACTTGCCTTGCGATGAAGATGGCATCCGTTGTAGACCTTTCGGGCATGAACCCGAACTGTTCCTGGGAGATCGGGACCAGCTCCCGCAGTTTCGAGTCGACCAGTCGCTCGTACAGCTTCATTGTATGAGCAGTCAACTTGATCCCGCGGTAGTTGGAGCAGTCCATCGCGTCACCCTTCTGCTTGAAGATGGGGACGATGGTACTTGTCCTCCATGCATCCGGCATCTTTCCTTCCACTGTTACCTTGTTCAGGAAGCTGGTGAGCCACCTTATGCCGTACTCTCCGAGCGCCTTCCATGCCTCGATTGGCACCCCATCTGGGCCAACCGCCTTTCCAACCTTCATCCTCCCAAGTGCACACCTAACCTCATCCTTAGTCCAGAGTGCGATGGGACCAGCTGTGGCCTCTGCCCGTGAGTCGTTCTTGTGGGGGAACTCCTCGTTCAGAAGCCCCGTGAAGTACTCTTCCCACCTCCTCTTGACTTCGGCTGGCTTTCTTAGGATGACACCATCGCTGCCTTTTACACTTTTCACCACCCTGATGTCTTGAGTAGCACGATGCCGGGCCTTAGCCAGCCTGAAGACGAACTTCTCTGCGTTTCTGCTTTCCAACTTCTCGTACAAGGCGTCCATTTCCGTGTTCTTCGCCTTGGCGACAGCAGCCTTAGCGAGCCTCTTGCAACTCCTGTAGTGGCGAGGTCTTCGGGGCTCCGGGTCTTCTGCCAGCGCTTGTATGCTTCCTTCTTCTGCTTCACGACTCGCTGGACCTCCTCGTTCCAGAACCACGCTGCCTTGTCTCCTCTGAATCCACCTCGCGTCTCGCCCAGGACCTCCTTGGCACATCGCAGGATGGTATCAGCCGCGCTGCCCCAAGTCCGCTGTATTGGCCCGTTAGGATCTGGGAGACCGACTTCCATTATCTTTCGCCTGAGGTCATCCTTCTCCGCTTGGTGCAGCTTCCACCACCGGATTCTCCTCTCGGTTCTTACCCTTGTCTTCTTGGGGAGGTCTATCGCAATGTCTGCCAGGAGGGGCCTGTGCTGGGGAGCCAGATCTTCGCCGGGTAGAACTTTGATATCCTTCACAGTTTTGAGGGTTGATCTTCTTACCAGCACATGGTCGATTTCCGTCTGTCTCCCTCCACTGCTGTAGGTTACCTTTTGAGTCTTCCTTTTCGCGAAGAACGTGCTGCAGACTGCCAGTCGTGGGCTGTAGCCAGGTCCAGAACCCTCTCTCCCTCAGCGTTCCTCGTTCCTATCCCTCTACCTCCGTGCACCCTTTCTAGGCCTCTTCTGTCACTGCCGACGTGGCCATTCAGATCACCTGCTATGGTCAGGTAATCGCCTTCCGGAACCGATCTTATGGCTTCGTCCAGGCTTAGATAGAACTCGTCCTTATCACTTTCGGGGCACCCGGCTTGCGGTGCGTACACGGAGAGTATTGACCAGTACCCCTCCTTCGTGTCCTATCCTCACAGCCATGATCCGATCGCTGATCCTGTTCACAGCGGAGACATAGTCCTTGAGCGACTCCGCTACCGCTATGGCCACGCCGTTCCGCTTGGTGTCTTCTCCATTGTAGTAGAGCTTGACACCTTCCCCGATTTCCCTGGCCTTAGCACCTTTCCATCGCGTCTCCTGAAGGCATAGGACTTGGATATTCTTGCGCGTCATCAGGTCAGCAACCTCTCGGGACTTCCCAGTTAGCGATCCTACGTTCAGAGTCCCTATTCGAACTAGCTTCTTTGGCCGAGGCCGTTCACTCCTCGGTAGCCCTCGCATACTGACCACAGAACTCGGGCGGGGGTTCTGCGCGCCACTTCCGGGTGACGTCCTAGCTTTATCACTGATTCCTTTTTCGACTTTAGACATATTTGTTGTGACGGGGGTCTTCATCAGCCGGCCTGTCAACCTGGGCCTGACGCTGGTACTAGAACCATTTTTGCAATTTTTGGTTTTTTCAGAGGTGCAGACATGAGTCTAACTCTTAACCACTCGGCTATCCCTGCCCCTCCTATGGGCTGCACATTGTGTCCGTATTACCCGCGGAACACCTGCACGATAAATAGGTGAAATACGTGCTCCGGAGATCCACCTTCCCAAGAGCGGATAAGTAGCCAGAAATGAGATTCTTAAACAGAATTTGAAAAAAAAACAGGTAGCCATCTACCCATCAACCCACCTGCGAGAACTATTTTGAGTCATGGGATGAATTAGCTTCTCGCTGTTATTTTGAAAAATGGAAACAACTTCTGGATTATATGACCGTATAATTTCAATGTTCCCGTTTCCTTATTTCCAAATGGAAGCGTTTGAAAACACAATCAACAACAAGCAACTCTTCGGCTGTTGGCTGAGAGGATAGGGCATTCATAGCTAGCCCTGCGTAATCAATGGTTGGACTAATTCTCAGAGTTCTCTGAGAATCATGCCGGAAACTTCGACTGTCCGCCTACTTTTCGCAAATACTTGAAGTAACGTCGAAGCTTTTGCTTCAGGCGCTCTTTGAACTCGCATCTCATCCCATCAATTGAAGTGGTTCCCAAACCAGGCCACCTAGCGAATCCAACAAAACGAGAGCGATATTCTCAGAAAACGGAGTTCGGGCTTTGGTTGAGCTGGTGCTTCCTTGCTGCGAGGTAGCCACAGACGTGCCATGGGTTGTTGTCGCAGTGGACTCATGACTCATCTCCACTAGTGACCGACTAAGGAAGGTTCTGCTTTTGCCGTCCCAGAATGGATTTTTCCCAGATGGTCAGACGTGCTTCTCGCTCATGGTCGGCCGGACCATAAGGTTTCCATCAAAACTTCATTCTGCAGCAGTCCTTGCCATACTGATGGCGTGTGCTGGTGCATCGGCTGCGCTCAGGTATCTGCTACAATACCCTGGTAGCAACGTACGGAGGCACTCCCAATTTAGGGTGCAAGGGGCGCTCATCAAAAATGACCGCAGGCCCAGTATGAGGTTGAAGTTCATAGCTCGTTTCGTCTTTGCCGTTGCGATTGGACCACTAGCTCAGTACCCTATCAGTAGCAGAGACTGGGTCAAACACAGCGCTGGTCTTCTCTGTTGTCCTCCTTGCTACAGAGTTCATTTGAGGATCGTAAAGCATAATCATTCATTATAGTCACTGACCTATTTTTATTCCTAGTTGATTAACCCGTTACGGGCTTGCGTTTCCGAAACCATGCTGTTAAGGCTCTTGAAGCATACTTCAACATACTAACGTATTTCGCAATGAAACGGTCTTAGACGGAAGAATTTGAAATTGAATAGAAATGCGACAGGAATTATGAGACAACCCAATAAAGTGGCGTAGTTCCGCTCTTGGGATTGCACGCTGGCCTTTGAGAAAGACTATCGAGTGGAAACGTCACACTACTAATAATGTTGACGCCTAAAAACCTTATTGGCAGAAGAAAAACAGTAACCTTAACAAGTGATACATATGCTCTTTTCCTCCATGTATTTTATTTTGTCACCGATCCCCAAACACTACGCCCTCAATCCTGAGCATGATCCCTTTCCTTCCGTCGAATTAATGGCGACAAACCCTCCACCGTTGTTAACCTAGGCTGTCGCTAGCTGAAGTGGTATTCTGTCACATTAAGTTTCATAACTAGTAAGGATAACGTGATGATACTTGGCTTCCCAGCCGCTTCAAAACGAATTTTAAGATCTGCACGACAAATAGAGTGGATTAGTCGATTGATCGCCATATTTCTCGCTAACCTTGATAACGTCAGTGACTTCTGACCCCGGACTTCTCGTTGTCTGCTGTTTCAACCATGCATCTCGATATGCACGAACAAGCTGTCTATGGGCGCGCATTCTCGGCCATGACCAATTATTCCTTCGTCGACGAACTTTCTCTTCCAATATTGCCGTATAAGCAAAATGCCACCTTGAATCAAGAATTTAGTTGAAGTAGCTCACTTACAGTTGTAACCAGCGACATACCATTCTTTGTAGTGTCCACGATATTCGTTGAGATGAGGGCGGTATTTCAGATACTGCGTTGCGAGATTGAATCTAAAGAAGCAAAAAACATCGTAGACAGAACAGGAACCGCTGAGCCTTCTCAGAGTCTATTATTCACATCACAGAAACTGCTATTTGGAGAGAAAACAGTAAAAACCATAAGATCACACCTTTCCTGTGCTTCTAGAAACAGTAAAATATCCTGATATTGAAATTTCCCAATGGCCAACGCTAATGTTTCCATATCGATAGAGAGATCTACCTGAAAAATGAGAAACTAAGCAAATTGCAGGAAGTAAACAAGTCACAAAAATAATCTATACTAGCCTTCGGAGTTTTCCAATCCGTCCCATCCGACTCTGGCTTTTGATTCAACTTTAGCTTCGCCTGCATTTTGATAGGCTGTAGAACTGAAATTCGAAACATTCCATACACTGCCTTCATTGCGACTCAGGAGAAACTTGTTCAACGGAAATTATTTTCCTCCATATAGACTCAAAATTACTCTTGTCGATAGTATAAATATGCGATGGGAGCAACCTCAGAGCCGCTAAACCGACGAAATAATAACCGATCCTATCTCAAAAGTACAACATTTAATTACTGTTAAATATCGAAAAGCGGTCTCTGCCCTATTCTATCAGCTTCCAGGAAACAAAGTAGAATGCCTTCTATAACATTACATGTCTCAAGTTGAAGAAGCCACTCACTATATTTGTAACCATCAGGCTGATTGCTTCCGTTGTGAATTGTAGCTTGAAGCTTTCTACGGATCTCCTTTTTATCGGGCAAATCTGAGAATAACTCTGAGCCAGAGTTCCAGTAGACGGCCAGATTGTCAAGCAGAACAAGTTTATGGAATATTTTTACAACATCTCTATGAATAGTAGGGATCCAGTTCTCAGTGGTTGTCTGAAAATCACAGTACTCGTGAAAACAAAGAAGACCAACAGTAAAACTTAGCGAAGCTTACCTGGAAGTCGAGCCTTTCCAGGGTAACTCCGGCCACAAAGGGACGATGTCTATTTGTGTATTTATCTTCAAAGCGAACATGGATATTGGACACAGTTACCTAGAGAATCGGGGTAATGGTTAATGAGCAACCTCCAAAAAACGCCAAAAATTATTTTAATGACAACAGTCACAAAAAACACACGGCGGTGGGCGAAAAAAAGAGACAGACCTGAAGATTCTTAATCACTTGAGTGATCATTTTTTCCACGAATGAATCCTGGGTTGGATCTGGAGGCTTTCGACGGTTCTTGCGAGCTTCTTCGAGACGGGCAAGAGTCTTTTGTTTGATCTCGGCAGCATTCTTCTTCGCCTCAAAGAAAACTTCCATTTTCGAGCTTGTTTGATTTCTTAATATGGCGAAGATGATTTTCTAATTTTAAAAGTGCTCCTGCGGTTGTTCCAGAAGGTCTTCTGTTTCAGAATTCAGGAATTCGCCTCACTCATTTTTGACAAGATCACACTACCGCAGCTATGAAATTGAATAAACGCAGGAGTCGTCATTCTTCCAGTGAACAACACAACGAGGAAGAAGAAAGGAATTTTTACGCTTTTTTAGCGGTGATTCATGTCACCTCATCACATCTACATGGAGCAAAACAGCATTTGGACAGACAAACAGAAGATGGAACAGGAATTAAACTGTGCGCTTTTCCATAAGAGCACGTGAATTGTTTAATTTGGACAAATGAAGAGAGAAAGAGAAAGAGAGAGAAGGAGATAGCAGAAACGAAGGCAAATTCAAAATGTAGTAACAAGATGTTGCCGTTTCAATCTCAAAACAGCACGAGCAATCTGAAAGATGCTTCCAAAAAGTCAATTGCAAACCCAACCAAGATCAAATCACCTCGAGAAAAAACTAAAAATTAGGCACAGCATCATCAAGAATTAAAGCAAATTTAATACAAAACAGAAAATGAAGTCTGTTAACCTACCTTTTCATCGTTATAGACGACACCTTTGTTAGGTACAACAATCAGATGCAAACCATCGATGTTGGCAATTACGGGCTCATTGTACAGATTCTTCCAAGGTATCTTGAGTACTAGAGTAGACAAGTAGCCAAATTTTAACTTTATCGGTAGATCGAGATCATCTAGCGCTGTTTCTTTGATTTCTAGATTTTCCAATTTCACATCACCTGAAAAAACAAGAAGTGATTACGAAGTGAGAAATTTATAACAAACAAAAACAATTACTGAACTGGTGTAGGCCGCGATAAATATAGATGCGGAATTTTTATCCCGGGACTAGCATTTGGAGTGACTGAAGGAGGAAAAAAGCGTTAAACAATCCCTCTAAGGCTGGTGTCAGAGTCCGCGATCGCTCTTCGCGATTTGCGCGAAACCTGCGATGGATCACAGGAGTTGGAAGTGCCCGATGAATACTGCGAGGTGTTGTTTAATCCTGCTGCGAATTCTGCTTGGCAGTAAAGATTGGAAGACGAATGTTTGTGGTTCTACTTGTTTCATGTTCAATGTCTATTAGTTCATTGAAATGCTCTTGAATCGTTCCTATTTTTTTCAGGAATCAAACCAAACCAATCACAAAAATTGCAAGTGCCCCATTTGAACAATTGAAACACTGGATATGAAACAAGTGGAATCATGAGCAGTCTCATTAAACCATAACCATCAAGCAGAAGTGACGGCGGGATTGGAGAACACCTTGCAGTATTGATGGGGCACTTGTGATTTCCGTGACCCGTCGCGCAAATCGCGCAAATCGCGAAAATCGCGCAAAGATCGCGGACTCTGACATCAGCCTAAGAAATGCGCCAGCATTCGACCTCCATAGCGAACTACAACTTCTGAATGGATTTGGCCTATGCACTGGCCTACGACAGTAGTCTACGTACAAGTCAGAATGCTTTCTCTCTGACGAGTTTGCCAGCCATCAATCGACCCGTAAAAACAGCAGCTTTGTTGAGCTGGACAGGTCATCAACCAAGATTTATAGTTCACCTAAAACCAGCCGAGAGTCTCGACAAGAACGGAATGAGGATGGCAAGGGAGGGAAGGCGAACGCTTAGGTAAGATCTGCGCAAAACAGGACTCTGCTGAAAAAACCTCGAAATTCGGTGTAGAGAGATCGGAAGTCCGATAAAAAGTTGGCGAGACCAAGTATGGGGGAGGGTAAAATTAGGGTGTGTAGACGGAGGCGGGTGGGGCTAAAATGCCAAGTTCGCAAAATGGTCCAAACAATACGTGGACGAAGTAACACATGAGGAGACCGGCGGAGAAAGAGTACTCAACCCACGATTCGCGTATACCACCATAAGGAGCAGGACCAAAGCAAAAATTTCACCTGCCCTGTTCAGAATCGTTGGGACCTTTTGCGACGCAAGCGTTAGTGTGCGGAGCTAGACGGTGATCATACGTATCTATTCCATAAAAAAATCACAAAACCACAAATAGCGGCTGCGGGATAATCTACACGAAACATATTCTGCTTATGAAATAATTTTTTTTTCAATTTTGCAGAGAAGGCTTCATCATAAACGACCTATGCTTCGAGATAGATAAGCACGGGACCACAAGACTAAGAGCCATGATATTGCCTTCATTCGCATAAGTTTGGGGACAATATAGGAACTAAATACTTGTTGGTGACGCAAATGTGAAATAAATAAAAAACAACAAACAGTGCCGTCTTAGCTCACCTCCCCAGATGCCAATGTTAAGTTGCGATGCATCGAGGTTGTCGACAAAATCGCCAAGGAAGCGATTGAGAAGATCAGCCACCAGGGACTCGAACACCATAGTGACCAAGTCCCTTCAAGACTAACCTGAACATTCAAACTAGTAACTAGGCATGAGTTCAAAACTGAAAACGTTCAATTCTCCACGACGCGCCAAAGACATCAGCAACACCGAAACCGTTGCAGGTCACGATGGCCAGCAAGTTCCCGTTGATGACAAGGCCTATTGGCTCACTGGATTTTAAGTATTTACAGAGCGATAAAATAGAAACGTTGCCCGTTACAGCTTTTTATACTCCGTGTTTACGCGAATGAGATTGATATCTTATCAGAGCGTTAAAAGTTTGGGTGCGAAAAAAAGTGTGAGGTGAAAGAGTTGACTCGAGCACAATGGAGAACGTCCCCATAATGACTATAATATGAGGAAACCTAACTATAAATCAATACGTTATGAATGCCATTACAGGAGAAGAACGCTTTCACATGAACACGCATTAAATGGATGTGTATCTGCAATTGATGGTAGGGAAATAGGAAAAAAAAGATGATCGCTCAAAAATGACGAACACGGAACAGTAAGCTTTTAAGGATAGCGAGATATGAGAAGCACTGGCCGATGTCAGACTTTGCGATTGGAGCGATTTTGCACCAATTGCAGGAGCGACGGATCGCTTGAGCGATGCGAGCGACGGGAGATTTACCCCGCCGAATACCGATACACACGGCGCCGCTCGGGTAAATCTCCCGTCGCTCGCATCGCTCAAGCGATCCGTCGCTCCTGCAATTGGTGCAAAATCGCTCCAATCGCAAAGTCTGACATCGGCCACTGAGAGAATTGAGAAAAAGGCGCCGAGACGGTAAAGAGGCATGTGGTGCTGCAGTTCTTGCCGGCTACAGAAATTCCAATTTTTGCAAGGGGAGGGAATCCCCGGGGTGCGTGAACCATTTCGCTTAAACTTTTACACCCACCCGGAGCTTCCCTCCCCTGCAAAAAAGTGGATTACTTCATGCGATATGAACTGTCGCACCACATGTTCCCCTTACCGGATGAGCGCCAAGAAAAATCCCGGGCAGGAATTCCGGAAAAGAACACTGCAAATAGAAGGCGACTGTATGCGCAATGAAAATGATGGCAGTTTGAAGTCTGCATCTTGCAGGGGGCAATTTGAGAGCACATTCAACTCGAAAGCGAGAACACTTTGCGCTAGCATCGCACATGTTCTCACATTTGCTGTACGCATTTTCAATGCAACTATAAAACAATGAAAGTCCGCGCTGCCGAACTATAAAAATTGAAATCGGCTTAAAAATAGCATGTGACATTTCGAACATAGAAACGTCATAGGGTGTATGAAGACCAAGGAAAGCAATAGTTGAAATGATGTATTGACACGGCATATTCAATGACAATTATGCAGTCGTAGCAACGAATTCCGCCGAGATGAAACCTCTCGGTTTCCGTAAACCTTTGAAGAAGCAGCATTTGTAAAATGCGGTAACACGAACGGTGTTGAAGAGAAACTTGATACGGTCCACATGCATATGTCTGTCCGTCCGCAAAATGAAGGGAAAAGGAAGCTCATGGAATAAATAAAACCGCTAACAAAATCGGTTAGCTCGCAGGAGTTAAACTATTGATGTTTCCCAATGGCGTGATTGTGATAGCATCCCCAAGGCCGCGTTCATAGTTCGCGACTCGGGAGATTAGGATAGTAGGCGACAGGATATTAGGATAGTAGTAGAGTAGGAGATTGCGCTGACAAGATTGGATACGTATCGATTGAAATCGCTGGAGAGTAGTAGATTGGGCGACTTCAAGCGAATAGATCAATACATATCTAATCTTGTCAGCGCACTATCCTAATCTACTACTATCCTAATCTCCTACTCTACTACTATCCTACTATCGTAATATCGCAATCTACTACTCTCCAGCGATTTCAATCGATACGTATCTAATCTTGTCAGCGCAATCTCCTACTCTACTACTATCCTAATCTCCCCGTCAATACATATGTTTTTCATTGTCGCGTACTATCCTAATCTCCGGAGTCGCGAACTATGAACGCGGCTCAACGGCTATATAAACACCTACTGAGCACACTTCCGCTCATTCCACATGGTGCTGCAATGGCAGCTCAAGGGCAGTGAAAGGAGGAAAGAAGGATGGGGAAGGGGATAAAACCAACAGACAATAGAGCTAAGATCTAATTAGGGTTATTCTAACGTCATTAAATGACTGCGATGCCCTCCACTGAGTGAAACACATCTTTTGTGCACACACAATCCCTCTAGGAGGAGATGATATCACAAGTGAAAGCTAACACAGTGAAAGGTGTAAAGCTTACGCAGGGAGGGATGGTACCGGCGCTTGTCGGGGACCAATCTGGTGAATAAAACAACGACAACATGTGAGATGGCCTCTCTGCGGCGAAAACGATAGGAATATGAGCGATTCCACGAATTCTGCATTTGCAGAAAATCGAGAAAAGCACTTCTCCAGCAAAAATTCAAATTCAGACGAAACTCAATCGAGCTAGAGCTCGATCCAGTTCAGTTCAACAGTTCAACAGCTAGTGGTAGGTTACTTAACCCTTCAAGTAACTATATTGCAACAGCATTTCATATAAAGTAATTACAGAGAACAAGAAAATAAATAGATACGACGCAATGAATAATGCAACGGTAACAAGAGATTAGGTAGAGGAAAAACACACTCGGTGGCCGAAAATGTGGTTTGAAAAGCGGCAAACGAGGACGTTGTAAACAATGCGATAAGGGATGGATCGATACGGAGTTGTCAGTCGTGGTGGCTCCTTCGCTAATGGTGTGCGTTCTCACATACGTATGCCATTTAGAAGAACGTTTCTATTTTTGGTTGCCACTGAAAAGAAGCAAAAAGAAAAGCAAACAAGGAAGCGATATGGAAGAAGGAAGAAGTGCACAGATAGCGCAATTTCAGAAACAGCCGTCAGCCATGTGGTCTTAAAAAATCGAAAACCGAAGTCGTAAAAGCCACCGCCGAGGTCAACCTCTTAAAAGGAGCACCAAGGCCGCATTCATGGTTCATGTTTTAGGAATGCGGCGATTCCGATGAAAAAGTGTACATATCGACAAGAAAAATCGCTGAATCACGATCACTGAAAGCGTTTAGATGGCCGGGCAAATATGTAAACTAAGGTGCACCTTGTCCTTTCATTTATCGCGAATTCTCTTCATCGCCTGATCGCTGAATCTCTAGATAAGCACACACTCCTTCAATATAAACGCCAGGTACCGCAAAACTTGAGCTGTGAAGGCGCTCAAATGGATGAACGACAGGAAAAGATTTTTGCGAATTTTGTAGATGTTCCACCTAAGACTAATATAACTCGAAAATTGGAAGTATATGACCAACCGATGTACTATGAGATCGAATCAGTCGTTATCGAACGAAGTCGGTCACTGCTTACAAAAAAAAACAAGAGTAAACGAATAAAATGCATAAAATAGTTAAAGTGTCCAAGAACGGTTCTCGGCGTTAAGTCCAGTGTGGTGTATTCACACCACAACTAGACACTGCATGTGACGCTTTTTCTAGCATACAGTGTTCGCGTGGCTTCTGGTTGACTTTTTAGGATGGGTGGAGGCGCATGTTATGGCGGAGGCTTATTTTTTTTAGGAGGATAGGCTGCTAGGAAGGGCTCCTTCGGAGCCGCCGCCCCCAAAGCTCGCGAGTAGAAGGCGAGATTCCGGAGGAGATTAAATTGGGCACTATTGAGCTATTACAACCCCAGAGGGGGTGAGATGGATCAAAAAAATTTTTTTCGCTGAAACTTGCGCTAGGGGGGTTATCGAGGCTCCTGATCACGAATATGACCTTAGTTTTTGGCGCTGGCGCCAAATTGGCGCCCTTTGGCGCCAATTGGCGCCAAGGGTGTTTTCACCAAATTCGCTGTAAACTTGTGAATAGGGGTTATCGAGGCTCCTGATCACGAATATGATATTCATTTTTGGCGCTGGCGCCAATTTGGCGCCATTTGGCGCCAGGTGGCGCCACGACTGATTCCCACTAAATTCGCTGTAAACTTCTGTATAGGGGTTATTTGGGGTCCTGATTACGAATATGACATTCGTTTTTGTTGTTAGCGCTATTCGGCGCCTATTTCCTGCTCGTCTGCGCCCTCGCACTAATTAGATCGCAATCAGGACTAAGCCTTTGAATAGTGGAGGGCTCCAAAGTGAGTAGGGCACTCCCCTGTGGTCTAACACACTCCAACTTTTGCCACACGGTGCGTGGTTCACCCACTCCGGAGTTTCACTCCCCTCCCCTAAGCTTAGTCCTAGGCGCCATAGGTGAGAAAGCCTAGAAAATCAGAAAATATGCGTTAAACAACACGAATGTTAAAAACCAGTGTCATATTCGTGATCAGGGCCCCAAATAGCCCCTATTCAGAAGTTTACAGCGAATTTGGTGATAATCAGTAGTGGCGCCAGCTGGCGCCAAGCGCCAAAAACTAAGGTCATATTCGTGATCAGGAGCCTCGATAACCCCCTAGCGCAAGTTTCAGCGAAAAATTATTTTTTGATCCATCTCACCCCCTCTGGGGTTGTAATAGCTCAATAGTGCCCGAAAATTGCTTCCGCACTCGCGTGGGTTCTTCTCTGAGACTCAGCCCTTAAGGAAGCATTTTGTAACCTGGGACAGCAAATGTTTACAGGCTGCTCCCAAGCCACATTGCGCCAAGTGGGGATAGTCTGCCCACTGCTGGGGGAGTTAAGCAAACCAGCCCTTTTGGCGTTTCGGCTGGGACCGTATGCTGACTGTTTCGGCTGGGACCGTATGCCTGAATGTTGGGGAGGGGATGGGGTCCCCAACGGTCGACGGTTTACTTCAACTCGGTTGGTACGATAGGAGAGTACTGACGCAAGTGGTGCAGCTGGTCCAGCAGCTCCGCCAGAAGGGCTGGTTTGCTCACCCCAGGACTAAGCCTTGGAGAGGGACGGACCCGTCCTCTCTTTAAGGCTTAGTTCTGAGGTAAGCACCAAATTGTGTCGGTTCCAAGGACCGAGTTGAAGTGG